AAATTTTTAATGCTTTCCCGCATCTATCGTTTTCCCGCATTCATCGTTTTTATTTCCCACCCCCGCCGAAAACGATGCATCGAGGTTTCACTGTAGTTGTCATTGTTAACTTACGTGTGATGCAAATATCAGTTTGAGTCGCATGGTTTGTAGGTCTGTATTCCAAACCTTTTATTATTATTCCCTTGGTATGTGTTCTTGGTCCCGCGCCGTAGCCACGCGGTCTGAGGCATCATGCTTTGGACCGGCGATACGGAATGCGCGCTGGTTCGGGTCTCGGGGGAGAAGAAATTTTCTCATGAGCTTTCGACCAGTGTATGGGACCGGTGCCAATCCAGCATCGCGAGGAAATTGGGGAGCTACAATGAGTAGTGTAATCCAGTCATGAAAACTAGCAATGGCTGGAGGTTCGTCGTACTGACCACACGTCACCCTATTCTGGTTGAATGATCGTTCACCTCTGCTTAGGCATGTGAACGTGAGGCCAGCAGCCAGCTAGTCGGCTTTGGCTCTCAGAGGGCTGTTACGCCATGGATTATTATTATGGTTTACAGTAAGTAAAGCTGTCCCACTATACGCCATGAAGACGCTTGGTATTGGCTCCATAAATGTTGAGAATGTTATGGCATCAGCCATTAACAATTTGTAGTGACGAACTGGATGTTGCGTCATGGAGAGAGTAGTAGACGAAGGATGTAAGCAAGCAATAATCTCCAAATGACATTCAACGTTGATGAAACAGCATTTTGCAAGTTAATGCCAAATAAGACACTGGTATTAAAGGGCAAAAGGTGCACATGTGGTAAAAAAGGAGATTACTGTTCTGTTCTGTCCTTGGTTAATGGAAAGTACAGAAGCCCACAAAGTTTAAAGAATTCCCATAATCTGCTTGTGAATATCACAATAATGCAATTGCTTGGATGACAAGTGAAGATTTCCAAGAATGGATTGTGTTATTGGAATGTCAAATGAAGGCGGAAAAGCAGAAAATTCTGCTTCTGATAACTATTCAGTGCATAATAATGTGCCATGACATGAAAAGAATGTTAAAAGTTATGTTCCTGCTGCCTAATTGTACTTCATGTGGCAGAAGTGCACTTCAGGTCATGGCTAATGCAACGAATGCTGGCTAACATTTCAATGGGTCGTGATGAAAACAAACGTTCTGGCGGCAACTAAGATGCTCAATGTGGCTTGAAAAACATTAAGTGCTGGTAGAATTGTGACAGAAGATGAATGCAGAAGTGATAGTGACACCGATATGAACAAATAGCAACATCTGGGCCAGAAACTAGATGTTGAGACAGTACTGGACAATGTAACAGAAACAGGGCAACTAACAATGATGTGACACTAGACAACAAGGAAGACAACGATGGCAACAATGAAAATTTTGATCCTAGCTCTGTGACCTTATTTCCCCATGAAGATTGCTGTCTTCTGGGTTGTTGCGCTGTGTAGTCTGGTCGATGTTAACCAACGTTTCAGAGGTCATACTGCCTCCGTCATCAGGGCTATGAATATTCATCGCCCTGATGACGGAGGCAGTATGACCTCTGAAACGTTGGTTAACATCGACCAGACTACACAGCGCAACAACCCAGAAGACAGCAATCTTCATGGGGAAATAAGGTCACAGAGCTAGGATCAAAATAGTTGTTATAATTACATGCAAGTAAAATGAAAATTATGCCTTTTTTTTACAGACAATTTATCCTTTTCTCAATATTATGCAGACATAATTTTTCCAAACCCAATCTAAAGTGTGAAATTAAATGCATATAACTTTCACACAATTTTTAATTAAAGAAGTGTGGAAATTGCAAGAATTAATGTGGTATTATATAAATAAGTAATTTTAACTAAACACAACCAAAATGAATGGCAATCAAACAATATTTCAATCTGTTAAGTCACTCCAAACATTCAACCTGAATAACCCCAAATTTTAAGGCAGAAAAGCTCATATTAAGCCACTCATTCCATTATACATACCTGCTGAGTCAGGATAGGTAAATACTCCACAGCAGGATAAAGTGTGCCCCAAAATCTGTTCAGCGCATGGAGCACTCGTAATAGGCACAGAACATCCAAAGAAGCATCTTGTATTGAAACTGTATCTGGAAGTTGCGGACTCAGAAAGGGTTGCAATGGTGACTGCTGTGATGGAACTATGCCTTCTGAAACACACAAATGCCTAATTAGATCACGTTCAAATTTCATGTATTATGTATTTTAAAAAAACATACATAACATTTCATCCTGTACAGTTAGTGTAATACTTCCTTTGCATACAAGTTAAAGACATTCATTTCAAGTGCAATTTTTCACGTCAAAATGTACATAAAGTACTTGTATTAAACTTCTGTATCAAGTGCTACAAAATGGAATGTGGCAATATTCTTATATACAATCAATCAAAGATTATTGAAAAGGGCCACTTTACTATAATTCACATTGAAAAAAGGTGTACTACAATTGGAAAAGTAATATATATATAAAAAGCATTTCAATAGTCAATGAAGGTACTGTCCACCGGCCACGAGAAAATCCCTGCGAGGGAAGTCGGTTCTGTGCAGTGCAGGGGGAATGTTTACTATCAGGTGGACTAGAGGGCTGCTATTGGTGGGAAGTGTGACACGTCAGAGAGTTACACTGCTACAAACAGACTGAAAACAACAAGTAGTTAAGAGTAGCGTGTAGTGAGTCCAACTCTAATGTGTTCTGTGGGTGTTGCGATAATATTCTAGATTAAATCACTGTGCCACTGTGAGGTAACGTTAAAGCTATACCCATTAGAACACAAAAAAGCCTGTCGTCTGTTGTTCATTCAGTGGTTGTGGAACGAATGCTTTTAGGATGGGTCGTCACTCACCGCGAAATCTTGCGCATGCGCGTATATCGAATTCCTAGCAGGGCTTTTCTCTGGTCTGTGGATTGTAAAGTCTGATGTTTCCTAACAGAGTTAAGTGCATGAACTTCCCAACATTTTTAATCAGAGTAAAATGTGGCACAAATTAAAACCCTGATTATGTCAACCAAACTAAACTTGAATCATGACAGTGAAAGGTGAATAATAATAATAATAAAAAATCATGGCATAAGGAATCACACAGTTCATATAAAATCCTGAAATATTTGTGTAACCAATTCAAGGCCAGTATTTGATGACAACAGTCACGTGTGTCAGTTAATATCAAGACTCACGGACCCAGGCTCTTGAATGTTATGACAGAGTACAAGAAAGAAAGCAGTTACCATTCCAGAGGTCATCCCCCTTGCGACTACGGGAGTTAAGCTTCGTGCTGGTGCCCTTGCCTTTCCGACCAGGTGTACAGCTGGATCCTGGTTTGCTACTAACACTGCACTCCTCTTCAGGAACTGGCCTGCAACAAAGGAATTAAATTAAATGCCCAGAACTTCTGTTTGTCTTGTAAATATGTAACAAAAATGAAAAGGTGGAATCCATACCAGAATATACACAGGCATTCTTTGCAAATTCTGAATTATTAATAAAATATTATCTCAGTTATCTTTAGTTTCAAACTATACAAATCACATGGCATGACATGTCATAAAGTGCTTTGCTTCTTTGTATCCTACTGGACTCTTACGCATGAGGTCACAGAATTAAATCTTGGCCAAGTCAAATTTATTTTTCTTTCATACAGCTGCTATGTTGTTATTATCCATAATCCATGGTGTAACAGCCCTCTGAGAATTATTCCAAAGTTTTGTTTTTTCTAAAAATTTTGTATCATACATCACTGCAAGGTCCTACTGAAATTGGCACTAGTGTCGACCCCGCCTCAAGTTTGTTTGCTTGCCATGTTGGTATAACCGACTGTAGAACACTGAAAAGCATTTTTTTACTATAGTCTGCAATGGCATAAAATAAATACCAAATGTCATCCAAATCCATTCAGTGATCCTCAAGCTAATCATGCTGTCATGATCCACTCAAAATGCATTCATTTCATTCACATTATGCAAAAAAAATGCATAAGAACAACAACCCAAAATAGCTTTCACGCCATCAGAAAACAGCAGGTACAATAAATGATACAATTCAAATTCAAAACAAGTATCCACTTGATGATGATGATCTGGGTTTTGGTGCTAAGTAGACTCATAAGTAGATGCTAATTAATGTTTTGGAGAAACATATTGTCTCCATCTTCAGGCATAAAGTACAAAACCTTGGCATGTACCAATGAGTCTACATGATGCAAAAACTCATCCTAACAGCTGTGACAACCTAAAATCTCAAAAGTATCCACTAAAGTAAAGAACATACAAACTTTAGTATTCTCTTGGTTTCATTTTCAGAACAGCTGAATTTTCTTTTTCTGTATTCATCTACTCACTTTTAGAAACCTTATGTCATAACAGACAACACAATTTTATCTTATTCTATATGAAAATTAATTACTTACTTATAGTATATGGTATGAGTTTGGACCCAAACACCAGAGTTGCCTAATGGAGCTTCATTGTCGGTATCAGTCTCTGATTGGTCGTTACCTGCTGAGCTGAACTGGCGCACAGCTTGGTACACAGTCATATTATATGGGAGGGGCTGATCCCCTATAAGGAACTGCAACCTGTGACGAGCTGTGCCCTGGCTTATCACGACAGCAGCCTGATAACAAGAGCTGTATTAGTTGTTTATAACGTGTAAATACAAAGTGCCTGCAACATCAGTCTTACAATTGAGGTGCGTCAGTATCTTTTATATTATTTTGCATTATTTTTATTGGTAGAAACTCTGAAGAAATTAGTTTAGGAAATAAGACACTGATACTTCTCACAATTCTATCTGACCAAGTAAAAATTTTCAGTTTGTAATTAAATGCAACCAATTAACTCACAAGTGTATCATCTATGTCCTCTTCACTATTGTCATCGTCAGAATCCCCCGAGTCTTTATCTTTGAGCCGGCCATAACCTCTTACAACAAGATAGCGCTCAATAGCCTGGACTAAAGCCAGAGGGTCAATTTTCACTGTCCCTCCTTTCCACTGCTTTAGGTTTGTACAGTCTGGATGCCGTTGTAAGTTGCACTGTAACAATTATGTAAATCTCATTTAAGCTGTCAGAAACAAACAAAGAAATATGGCAAATATAAAATGTCAGTGTGTATAAACATGAAAAAGTATGTTGAAAAATTTGATAACGGCCAGGCTGACTAAATTTTATCATACAACTTTAACTTATTCAACACTGAAATAAAGTAAAAAAATTACACTCTGAGAAAATGTTTGTATCATATTTACCTGAATACAGAACCCCTTACTGCCAGGGGTATTTCATTATTACTAACTTTGTACTTTTTGGGTACATTTGCACAATTGTTTTACTGGCTATGTGAAAATGTACAAGAATTTTAACCCATAAAAATGTCTGTGAGGCTGCAAATGTAACCATCACACATGTAGAACAGGGCTATGAACCCAAAGACATGCAAATGCTTGAAAGTCTGAACAAGGTGTTGTATATGTATAGTAATATAATATTGGTATATCGGAATAATTGCTAGTTGCAGCATAAGAAATTTAATTAAGCCTTGTATGTGAACACTGTTTTGTAACTCGGACTTTCACCAATGCTATCCCCATCTGATAATTGGGTTGCTTTTAAAGGAAACGGTGACACTGTGACGCTGTCACCCCACAATCATTTCAAAATAAGCATCAGCTAAAGTCCGGGAGTGAGGCAAGTGTCAGACAGAGGACAGACTCACAAAAACTTTAAAACCTTCTAGAACAATCCTATCGGTACAGAATACAAAGTTCACATATTTTACCCGGGATACGCCCTTGCTGACCAATATACACATACACCAGCAAGAGCATTACCAAACGCTTTTGATCTGTTACGAGTCAGTCTTCACGACGGCACTTCAGTCAGAGTCGGCCACTGTGAGAGCCTTATGCAGCAACCTAGTATATTCATTACTATTTACTAGTAATAAAGCCTTGTACGAGTCAACTCTCAGCATCAGTGACGAATAACCAATCAACTGAAATCCGCTCGACCAACGTTATTCGAACCCACACTGTACTTACACGGTTTTCCCGTGTCGGGTACACAACAAAGGGCTCAATACACAACACTACACTTCAAACAGCGAAATCTTGTACTACACTCTTTGTGCTGTGCAGAAAACTTGACAATGCATGCGTTCCCTCTTTTGAGAAGCGTCCACTATGACTGTCAGTTGGCTGGTTTTGTGGGGGTGGACCATGATAAGGCAACATACAGCTGTCCGAAAATTTATAACACTCTAGACCCATAAAATTTTCAACACTGCATTTCAAAGAACAATGGAAAATAGAAACAAGAATTAGGACTTGGAATGTCCGAGTCTCCACAGGCCAGGTTAATTGAGAACAGTAGTATAGAAATCAGTAAATTAATTTAGATTTAGGGGAGCACAGGTCAGATGGGTCAAAAATGGCACTGAACCAGCAAACCAATTACATATCTTTATACAAGAAAGGGAATGCTAACCATAACTTAGAGACAGATCTTCTCGTATATGGAGAAATAACAGTTAAGCGGGTAGAATTTGTTAGTCTGTTAGTGACAGGATGTACATAATATAAACAGGTTCATGGTGTGATATTGCTCTGAATGTGGACACTCTAACTGATGATAAAAGGATTTCACAAGCCACAACTTTTACAAGGAACCAGAATGTGCATTGTGTGATCACTTCTCTATTTACCGTGTGAAAATTAAGGTCAAGTTTCAATGCAGAAGAGATTTTCAAACTGAAAACTGGCAAAGATAGTTTACATAAAATCAGTGATGATAAGGAGAGAGCAGAGAACTTTTATCATATATATAAAAAGTCCAGAATACATTTCCACACAGCAGAATTAAAAATGCACTTCTAACATGACACAATCCTAAATTATATCTGAACAGATAAAATATCGCACTCAGAAGTATAATAAGAAGGGAATTTCTGACTTGCTGAGCAACCATTCAGTTATCAAGAAGGACTCTGTTGCATGGCATATGTCACATGAAATCAAGAAATGATTATCTGAGCCTACAACTGATACGTATGCTACAAATGACTGTTAACTGTTTATTTCACAGGCATAATGACCTTGAAGTTTACACAGTTAAACAAAAACAATTTGACCATGTTACAAAACACAGCAGCTACCACCTACATTATGGATAACTATTTAGTAATATTATGAGCCAGGATATCTCAGTCAGTATAGTGACTAGCTACGGGCTGGACGACCGGGTTCGATCCCCGACGGGGGGGCAGAGGATTTTTCCTCTAGCCTCTGCGTCCAGACCGGCTCTGAGACCCACCCAGCCTCCTCTACAATGGGTACCGGGGTCCTTTCCTGGGGGTAAAGCTGGCCGGGGTATGATGCTGACCACTCACCCCCATCTAGTGCTGAGGTCAAGAGAGGAGCTATACCTCCTCTCACCCCAAGCGCCTGTATGGCACGTAGCGGGACAACTTTACCTAGTAATATTGGTTATACAGTGTCATGTAACATGATACTGTCTGGTATGCAAATATAAGATAATGCTTGATTTTTTAAATTGTAAGGCAGAAATGAAAAACCACCACACACCTGGATAAATATGGTACAATTTCAGGTGGTGATTAGATTTGATTATGGAACTTCATTCCTCAAACCTCATATATACCATGCCTACTTTGTTCATTGTAATTATAACTTTATTCTATCGCGAACTTTCCACAACGTCTCAGCTTGCTGTGTGGGGATGTGACCTGCTTGTTATACTTTGTTGCAGATGAGATCTGCAAAAATTTCTTTTTCTCCAAATACTTGTCATACAAAACAGATAGTACCTTGAGCTGATGTGTGTTGAAGAACTTGAGTGCACTGGTTCCACCACCTCTTCCTGTGCCAGTCCCGGCTGGCAGGTCGTGAACTTTCACAGGGAACTGTTCCAACTGTGAAACACAGCCACTCAACTTGGCAACAAGAGCTGACATGGATGCAGGATTCCAACCTGAAGGCTGGCCACAGAAGTCAGGGGCCAACTAGAAACAAATTACGACATACACTTGGACAGGAATTTCATAAACACTTTTAAATGCCAAGAACACCTAGACCAGTGGTTCTCAGGATTTTCTTGGTTCTGAAACCCTGTAAAAATCTAACAAAAATTTGATAATCTACAGAATCCTTAATACTGCTCCCCATGTTTTTATTTCTGAAGTATGTTTGTTGCTAATTATAATGGCTATATAATCTACAGTGTACAGTATCAGATAGGTCACACAATTTAATTCAGATTTGAATATCACTCAGAAGAGGTTGACAGCAAACTCCTGGGGTTTTCAAATCCCACACTTTAAAAAACCACAAAACAGACTGTACATTTTTTACACAGCATTACATATGTAACTGATGTATACAGTGAAGCTTTCGTGACAACTGAAGTTGATGAAAGACTCTTGGGTTACAAGCTGCATCAGGTAAATAGTGAATGGTGAATAAACCATTTCTTCTGCCAACATTTTGAGAACGATCTCTGCTCTCATCCTCAGGGCTGCTGCGTAACAAATCTGATCCTTTGTAGAGCGCTCGCCGATGGGAACTTCTCAGAAGATACGGTTTACAGTGAAACCTCAATGCATCGTTTTTGGCGGGGGTGGGAAATAAAAATGATGAATACGGGAAAACGATAGTTGCGGAAATGCATTAAATTTTTTTTAAAAAAAATGTTTCTCTTTCAAAGTTACTTCTTCTTTTTACCAAAAACGTCTTCAATGGACAACTGGTTTGTCGAAACTTTACGTTTTATGCCAAACAGAGCCCTTTCCACGTTCAAAATATTTTTCCTCATCACGTTCACTAATATTATGCGCATAAAAGAACGACTTCACTTTTGCCAATGCAGCATGTGCTTCGGCAAAACTCGGAACAGCTTTGGGCTCGCATTCATAGTCTTCCTCTTCCTCACCCTTCGCAAACAATATCAGGAAGAATGGAAATACTATTACTGCCGAACTCAACGTAGCTGTAGAAGACACGAGATGATCCAGAAGAATGAAAAGTGTCGCCCGCCTTTCCTTTGTACTTATAATAAAAGCATTTTTGAAGAAATTCACACTGCACATGCCATGTGGCATCGCTGGAACGAAATATGAATGCACCCTAATTAAACTCGTGAAATTTCTGACAATTTCCAACTATCACCCCTGTACCCCTGCCCCTTCATTCCAAAGACTGTGCTGGTTGGGCGACATAACAGGTTACCACTACTGTGTATTCCAAAAACATTGTGCGTCTTTCGGTATTAATTTATCTCAAAACCCAGCATTTTAAATTCTAAAAATATCGCGTAAATTTCGTTATAATTTCTCAGAAACGATCATTGCGGGAAAGTTGTGGGCCAGGACTAAGATTTTTGAACGATCGATGCGATAAAATGATAGTTCGAGGAACGATAGAAGCGGGAAAATGTAACATTATTTTATACGGGATGTATCTGGGACCGAACAAAACGGACGATGCATCCGGGAAAACGATAGTTCGGGGAACGATGGATAGAGGTTTCACTGTATTTACCATTCAGCCACCTGACGCGGCTTGTAACCCGAGAGTCTTTCATCATGTAACTGATGTAACACAGAATGATGTACATAAAGCAAACCACTTGCAAATGTATATTAGATTACCACCTAGCCAGAAAAATTCATACCATAATCACTGGCATATTACTGAAATATTCACAATCACTCAACACCGAAGAACTTTTCCCATACAAATAAACTTACTGGGCATCCAGAAAACACATGAAGAAAAGTACGAAGTCGTTGATCCCGAGATCCCATGACTGGACTGTCAGCTTGTGTGACATACTGAAGAATGGCCTGAATCAGTCCACTGTGGTTTACTTCAAATGGTGAGATATCAGATTCCATTACTATGCTGCGCAGCTCTTCCAGGGCTTCCAGGCCTTCAGTAGGCTGAAACGGCAGTAATGCGTTAGTTCTATCATTACTGCTACAGATAATATACAAATAGCAAAACTCCATTTACTGCTCCTCAATTTAAGGTTTTCCACTATTCAGTGTTTATATCTATTATTCCTAATTTCAATTATGTGCATTTGGTATATTTGGAAGCTATGGAGTTCGGACTATACTGAGATATAAAGCAAGACAATATAGAGCAAAATCGAAAGACAGAAAGAACTGAAGCAGAATGCACTGTTATTCCAGAGGAGATAATTGTATCAGCTGTCATGTTATCTCTGAACTTGTTTCGAAGTTTGGCATTTCATCAAGTACTGAGATTTTAGGTTTTCATGGCAGTGAGTATGGGTTGTCGCACCATGCAGTTTGTGACTTCTCACATGACACTGATGACATTTTCAGCCAATGTTCTTTTTCCAGCAAACAAGGTAGACAGTGTCATAGGTAGGCAGGTAGGTACGTAGGTGAAGATGAAATAATTGATGACCATTGAACAATGTCACATGGCACCTCTGGATGACAATTTACCCTTTAATGCACATCATGGGAAAGATATTTGGAACATTTGTTTCACTGTTTTTTTGGGTCACTTGGCTGGTGAACAGAAGGTTTAAAAACAAAGATCTTACTTCATGCTATTTATCCCCATGATAATTACAAAGAAGAAGTATTGCCCTAACTGCTTTAATATTTCTAAACTGTAGAGTGTAATGTGTGTAACTAGAGGCATTTCGAGATAAAGTTAAAAAGTATGTATTTCAGTTATTTCCAGATGGGAACGTGTCAGAATGTGCACTTTAACAAACTACATAAATTCTCAGTAATTGAGTCTGCAGTGAAACTGATAACGCAATGAAAATGCCCCTAGGTCTATCCGAAAGCAGAATAAATATTGTATATAGCAAGATCTTGTTGAACAGAAAAATATATGAATATCCTTAGTTTTATGAGTTCATGAACTCACATCTATGGGAAATAAATTATTCTTTAACACTTTACCACATTTTCCTTGTTTCACTAAACTATATTAATTCATGTTTACCTGTTCTTGAAGCTTATGTATTGCCTGAGTGAGCCTGGACAGAACATTCATGGCAGGATGAGGTGGGCCATTGCTTTCAGATACAGAATAGGCTTCTACAAATCGAGAAGCCTGTTCCCGAACCCAATTTCGAGCCTTTTCTTTGTTGCCAGCTGTTAGGTTTGGATTGCTTGAAGACTTTGACATGGAAGACTCCTTAAAAAAAATTACATTAAGTCTCAGAAAATGACAATGAAGTATGATAATGTAACTTCAAAATTGTCTGTTACGAACTTAAGCCATTGTAAAATCATCACGTATTAGGAAACCATAATCAGTTTGAGTTCATATCTAAGAAGTCAGGAGAAAAGGATCTACCATCAACAATATTTATACACAACGAAAACCTGAAACGGTTGAAGAGACTTTCACAGAGATTGAAATTAGCAGCAAATTGTAAACTGAAAAAGACACAATTTGCCAAGAAAATTAATCATGAATACAGATAGGTCAAGTTCAGGTGCAGGAGCTTCTTTCGAACACAGAAGTGAGATAGAAACAGAAATCCAATGACAACAAAGAGGAGTGTTGTATACCACAAGTAGAACAAGAGCAAGGACACAGTGTTTTCATGCCGTATGTGGAGGAATGCGAAGCTGAACCATTAAGGTAAAATCTTTTAGATTTCTAAAATGCAGAGTATATGATAAATAATTTGTTTAATTTATGAAAGACTCTCAGGTTACAAGCTGCGTCAGGTGGCTGAATGGTGAATAAACCATTCGGCCACCTGACACAGCTTGTAACCCGAGTCTTTCACCAACTTTGGACACTGCAAAAGCTTCATTTAACTTGTTTAACTTTCTTTGAAAGCTGTCAATTACTAGTGAAGTCATGCCTTGCTGAGTAAAACCTAATAAAAATGAAAGTTAAATATCCAGATAGAAAATCCTCCCACAGCACAGTGAATGAAACTTGAGATCCCAAAATAGGTGGAGAATTTCTTTACCACCTGAGCAACAATTAGCTTATCCCAATGAACGCTACATGGTGTAGGTTTCTTGTCATGAACAATGATACGGTGGACACAATTTCTGAAGTTGCATTTTATTCACAAACATGATATCAAGACGCAGTTACCAATACCTTGTGGAAAGGCCTGTCAGTAAGACCTGAACCACCACTGTTCAAGCTTCTTCCCCAGCGAGCAGGATTTAGGCTGGCTAAGAAGCTTGTTGTTTTTGACGTGGCACCGGCAAATCGAGATCTGGCTGAGCTGGTTCCACTGGCACCTGTTGGTGTTGATCGTCCAGAGCTGCCTAGTGACGTAGCTGAAATCACCACAAACAATCCAAAAACTCAACATTCACTTCACTCGAAATAAAAATTCTACTTATTACCTACTGTATGTATGTACTGCACCTCTTGTTTTCTTTGATCCACCCATCCCTAGGGCTACCCATGAAGAAAACTTCAATCCACATTCCCTATCTTAACTTTAATCTTCCTATATTCCTTGATTTTATTGTCTTCCTCCTTTTCCTTCTCTTGCTTGCCCTCATCAGCAAGTTTCACGGCAGTTCCCAACAACTTGTGGGCCTGTACTATACGTATCAAGAGGCCATTAAGTAGGTTCTTCAACTTAAGAATCTCTGATAAAATCTACATGGCTAACCTAACCTAATTCATATTTTTTACAAGTAACTGTAATACTTTATGAAACAAAAAACTCTTCTAAAATATGTAATTTATGCTAATAAAATTGTCTACAACAGATAAGCCCAGTGTAGCACTACTGTGCCAGTGGATCGAGACATCACGGCAGCAGATCCCTCCAGAAGTAAGAGTCAAAGATAAACATGCTATTTCAATTTTTCAACACTACTGAATATGTACAAGTTTAATTACAATTGTGATATAAATAATAATATACAATAAACTTATTTCTTGATTATGGGGAAAATTTTTATCTCTCGAAAACAAGAAGTCATAACCCTTATCCTAAATGGTGTAAACTCTCATAATATCTACTTCATTCTATCTTCCTTGGCTGTTTAAATCACGCACTTGTCTCCACATTCTACAATAAAATACCTTTGGAGAAGAAATCTTGCATCACTGATGATGACAGGCTGTTGTCAGAGTCTTGCCTAGTCTTACGATTTGAAGTGACAGCCCTCTTAGGGGTGCGTTTCCGTTTCAACACATCAGTCAAGCGTCTAGAAACAACGCAACAGAAAAATTATTACTGTACTCTAGTTCATGATTACACATGTATAAACCCTCAAATAATTTTTAGACCTAAAAGCACATTCTTGCAAAATTCATAGGTTTACCTCCATCATTAGTAACTTATCTGACTTCTTATGTAATAAATGTTTCATCTGTACGTGGACGAGATATGACCATTGGAATGTGAGATACCACAGTTTAATGTACAGTGATCAGCAAATGAAGACTCACAGCTGTGATGGGCTGGGTGACCGGATGTCTTCTCCTACTATTCCTAAGTCCGGCTGCTGGGTAAATCGCCTGGGCTCGGGGCTGGCTGGAGAAAGGCTTGGAGTTGGTATAGTTGTGAACACCAGCCCACTACCACTATTACCAACATTTGATGCTGGTGAAAGCAAACATACTGAGTCTTATTTTATTACATCAATAATTCATCACAGCATAGGCTGTCAATTACAGACCTATCGCCAACAAGCCTTTTAACATTTTTACTTGCAAAAGTTTACAACTCAGGAACATGATCTAAAGATATTAACAAGAAAATAAATAAGTAAATACAATGAAACAAATGAGGTGGAAAGAGCTAGGAGTTGAAGGAGACTGGATTTTGTTGGCCCAGGACAGGGACCGGTGGAGGGCTTTGGTTAATTCTGTGATGGACCTTCGGGTTCAGTTGGTTGGTTAGTTAGAGGTGGAGAGCAGCTTTCATTTGACCCAAAATAGTGATTCTAAGAAAGTACAATATATATCACATTTCAATTATTTGGAATAAAAGTTGGTATCTTATAAAAATGTCAATGGCGATAAAAATAAAAGTACTTATAACTGTTTACACAACAAAGTATTAATCATATATTATTGACCATCTTCTGGTGGCATGCAAATATGGGATAAAAATTTAACTGAATTACTAAGTTAAGGGCATATGAAGTGCTACAAGCACAGATTTTGCAACATGTGAGCGCATAATTTATTCTCTCATTTACTTTTAATTTTCAGCCTGTGGCATTTTCACTAAACAGCATAAAAAACCATATGTTTAGTGTCATTTTGCTTGCAACCTACCTAACACAATGCTGCCATTTGGGCTGCTATTACGTGACACAACTCCTATCTGGTTGACATTCCCCACAGCTTGGACAGATGAAGACAACCCAGTTGTTATCCCACCAGAGCTTGCTACAGATATGCTACAAGCTGATGATGATGGGCCTGGCTGTGAACAGTTCAGCTCCTGTTGCTTAACTGATGTACTGGAATCACTGCTTTTTGGTGGAGACATGCCCAGGGGAATGTCTGGGCTGGCCAACTTCTTGATTTGGTGCATCACACCTAAGGAAAAATAAGTGCTGCTCATTTCCTTTCTCAATATAAAAGCACCTCATAGCGGGAGTAAAAATAATGAATACAATGAGTAAGCAGAATATCTCAATTAAGGGTTTCACAGGCACATAAATTAATTCAATCCACTTCAGTACTTAACAGTGATTATCTAAAAAGAAGTCATAAGAAAATATGTATAAAAAACTCTATATTAAAAAATACATCTCTTGTCTGAAACATATTTCAATCTAGCAAACATTAACTAAATAAATGTGCATAAAAGCTTTCATGCCAACTTGTTCCAAAAATCAATTTCATACCTAGAATTCTTTTGAAAAAATAAAATAAAATCCACACTTATGCTGAGTACTAAGTTTATCTGAATAAATTTAACATTAGGTATGTATACATTTTATCTTTGCAATTCTAAATTATAATCACAGTAATGTCAGAGACGCACAAATTACTTAGCTCAAAGCAGGGGCATACATGCATCATTTTTTTAAAAAGTGCCCAATCATTGCCTCACATTTTCAAATTTGACCATGATAAGTTACATTGTAAGATTTGAGGTTTTCACAGCGGTGAGTATGAAGATTTATGTCTTTTGGGTTGTTGCGCTGTGTAGTCTGGTCGATGTTTACCAACGTTTCAGAGGTCATACTGCCGCCCTGATGACGGAGGCAGTATGACCTCTGAAACGTTGGTGAACATCGACCAGACTACACAGCGCAACAACCCAGAAGACGGAAATCTTCATAAGTTACATTATTTGATGCCAAATTACTTTGGGGGGGGGGAAGAAAAAAGAAGAAGAAGAATGGAACTGAAGCAATTGTGTACTGTACAAACTGAATGGGTAAGTATTTGTTAAATCATGACTTCACACATCAGAAGAGTAGGCATGCCTGTCATGTGAGAGACAAATCAAGGCAGGATAATAAGTTACTTATCAACACAGTATGAGCTACACATGGTATTAGAATAATAATAACTGTATGAGAAGTTCATGAAGCCAGGACTTGAAATATAAAAGATTATGAGCCAGCATTAGCTTTCGATATGTTTGTAAAAAATTAGTAGGCCCCGAAACCAACAATTTTAACACATAATGAATTAACACTAACTGAACATTCACTCAACCCATTTGTGAATACCTTATTTGGTCCACAGTGTCAAAAAAATTATTAATTTTCAATAGGATACATTGCAGTTACATACAAAACAGCACAAAATGTTTGATGCAAATAGGATTGTTCATCAAAGAAGTTATGAATCTGGATTACAGAAGTTCAAGAAATCCCTCACCAGGTCAACCTCTTCACATCATATATTCTGTAAGACTGTTGTGGCAATATGACTCCAACAATTCAGAAGACAAACCCAGTAACACGGAACAAACATGAGAACTTGCCTTCTCTACGAAAGTGGACTCCAAACACCTCTGGCAACTTCTGCATAAGAATTTCTGCCATCTGTAGGGCACCAACAACAATCCGTAGGTCCTGAGATGCCATCATTCCTGCAATATGACTTGAAACCACTTGATTCTTCAGTACCTCCTGTAGAAAATTAAAATATATCAAATACTCATACTGTCAAGTATTACGTACATAAAATAAAATCTTCTCGGGCAATCAGCCGCGTCAGCTGGTCACCGTAGTAATCCGACGTTTCGGGAACAAACTCTGTCCCCATCTTCAGGGTTCTGATGTGACTGGATCCTCGGAAGTCGCCTGTGTAACTGCCTGCTCGGGACCAGTGCTCATGTCTGGACCGAGGCCCAAGGAGCTAGGGGGCGGAGTCAAGCACTCGGTTTGTTTCTGTCTGCTTACTTCCTGGCATTCCCCCAACATTCCTGAGCATGTTTGTCACCAGATACCATGCTCGGCTCAAGGTGAAATATCAAGTGATGAACATGCTCAGGAATGTTGGGGGAATGCCAGGAAGTAAGCAGACAGAAACAAACCGAGTGCTTGACTCCGCCCCCTAGCTCCTTGGGCCTCGGTCCAGACATGAGCACTGGTCCCGAGCAGGCAGTTACACAGGCGACTTCCAAGGATCCAGTCACATCAGAACCCTGAAGATGGGTACAGAGTTTGTTCCCGAAACGTTGGTATACTACGGTAACCAGCTAACGCGGCTGATTGCCCAAGAAGATTTTATAGATTGTACTTGTCGCGAAAGTCTCAAATCCTATATTATGTACATACAACACACTCATCATATCTACAGCATGATAGCAGTTACTGGTTATTGCCTGATTTTTGCATGTTGCTTTGAAATGCACAAGCGACGGAATAACAGCAGCCAATGACGAGACGTGTTATCTTTCGCTAAAAAGCATAACACAGCATGGCTACAACAGATCAGACTTACAGTATTCTTAATGCAGGGAATAACAGATGCTTTGATGAGGGTGCTGCTATCTTTCACTAAACTAAATGGAAAAATGTCTATGGTAAATGAGCAACACCATTATTGACAGATAATTTATTACTGTGTAATTCTAAAATAAATACAAGAAAGTCAACTGTTACAATGGAAAATATAAAAAAGTAACCGCTATAGCAAATTTCTGTCACACAAGGGAGTTAATTAGTAAACAAATGTCAAATAAAACCTAGCAACTGAAAAAGCATATTTTATATTCCTCGTTTTTCCATTCATCACATTACTGCTTTGCTTGTATCATAATATAAAAAGTTCAAAATGGCCATAAACTTTGCATAAATGTGAAGCAAAGAGCAATTAAGTAGGGTTATGGCATCAATGTTTTCTTTTTAAGGAGTCCCACTACATGCCTCATAGGTGACCCAAAGTTTCAGAACGAGTAATCTGGGAGTAAATGTAAAAGTAACTACATACATGTTCATACCATGGCACCAGAATGCAAGACAAAATTATAATATTTAGTTGAACATTCTTAAAAAATGTACAAGTTAAAAAAATAATTGGAGAATGTGTGCTATCATTTAATTCAGAAGTGTAACTGCCTGCTCGGGACCAGTGCAAATAGTTACACAGGCGACTTCCGAGGATCCAGTCAGATCAGAACCCTGAAGATGGGGACAGAGCTTCCTCCCTAGAATCGCGAAGGTCCCGGCTAGCCTCCGAATAAAAGTGAAATGTAAAGTTTTCTTCCTATGTTGCATTTACAGAGACAAAACTTGGAATCAATTGATGAGAGGGATGGGTAGAAATTACGCAGACTGTTCTATCTGATAGCAAAGGAATAATTCCACAGATTTGTTGTCTCATTAGGTTAGAACTGTTATCTCCATT